CATAGCATCGCATTCTCTCCATGCTAGCTGCTTGCTAGCATGGGCATCTTATTAATTTACACCTTACTTCTATGTGCATGCTAATTGCTACCGCATATTACAGAGTACCCCTGTGATCTGTGATTACTGCTATCTCTACATAAGGCGCGGTCCAGTAATACCAGTATTCCTTTTTAACTAGGAGGCTGATAACTTGCGTTTACGGAGCCGCCTTACACAATTTATCGTTTGTAGTCAGAGACAAGAACACAGATTACCAACCTAACTCTTCTCAACTTTTTCTCAACAATACTTCGTCTTTGGTGTACATCATAGAGAAAGTAACATAATTATTTTACTTACTCTATGGTGTACATGAAAGTGTGTAGATGCAGGAGTTTGACATTTATTGAAGTCCTTACCTATACTAATGTTATAAAAATGAATATATTTAATGAATAATTTTAAAAAATTGTTTCTAACTAATTCAATAAACATCTTGGTCAGCTGTTAGCTTAAAACCGCTTAATCTCAGTCATTCCAATTTGCCTCTTGTTCTGTTTGTAATTATACTTTCAACAACCATATAAACCGGAAACTAAAAAATATATGTTCTTAAAAGCTTAGGTAAATACGTTTAAATAATAATTTTTTACCTTAGGGTCGTTGAGTCCGTTTCTTTTTCTTTTATTGCCCGTTGCCCTTTAAACGCTCTCACTTAATCTTAGTCCTCACTATATAACTTCACTTTAGAAAAAAGATTGAAGTCTCCCCATTTGACTATTGCTAAAACCAGTTCTAAGCAATAAAAAGAATTGTCTAAAAATTAGTCGGATAACCCTCTATTACTMATCTCAGAACATATATACTATATAAGAAGGCATTTTGCCAGAAAAATGCCGTGGACATACCACGGCATTTTTGAAAACTTTTGAACACTTTTGAAAACAATAAATAACAACTACAAAATAATTTTACATGTATTATACACACAAAATAACAATAACGTCCAGCAGATACATTAACTATTTATAAACTAAATTACCAAAAAAAAATATTTGCAAATGTTTCGATTTATCCGGAACTTTTTTCTGTTTTCTGAAGACGGATAAATTAAATTGCGGCAATCAAATATTGCAATATTTTAGAAAATGAACCGGAAATTCAAAATCTAATAAAGTTTATTTAGGCAATTATCCGTGAGAGAAGCAAAAAGATCCTATTGCTATATAGATATAATATATATATAGAACTTTACGGTTCAGAAGGCTATTAAATACTATCATTGTACATACTTTCGAACACACGAAAAATGTTCGCATAAGAGACAAGTAAGGTTGTCTGAACCTAATTATTCGTCTATTAATGTAAAACTATTATCTGTATTTTTTTATTT